TAATTCTGTCAACATATCTCAAACACAATCCCACCAAATATACAAACCAAAGAAAACTGGCTATACTCCAGTATAAACCTATATTTCCGGATTTGTGTGCTCCTCTTGGGAAAAACTATGGCTTTTAAATAATGTTTTTGGAACCAGGTTTGAAATATTTGAAATATTTAAATGTCTGTCATATCATTTGTATTTTAGTAAAATTGATTAATTAAATATTTAAAATATTTACAATTTGTTTTTATTAGAAATGAAAGACTAAGAATATATATTTTTTAAATTTAATTAAAAAAACATGTGGTTGTGCATCAGATAAGAGCATCTGTTGAATGTAAAATGATATGGACCTGCAAGGTCAAACATGGTTAAAAATACATAAGGGAATTTCTTTCAAAAAAGTAGACATCAATCAATAGGTCTGCCTAAGGTCATTGCAACGTTTAATGCCCAATGCCTTACTAGCTTATAAAATCGCATTCAGGTTATGGAAATTGCACTGTAATCTTTTGCTATTACAGATAACAGTGAGGCCCTTTTTTTCCACTTAAAAAGGTAAAAAAAACGACGATCCATGATGCAAATATAATTTCCTCAGACACTAAAAACGTCAGCTATCATTAGCTACTATTAGCTTACAATCAATGGACGTTGTGAGAGCATTTGCTCAGGAAGCGTGAATCAAAACACCTGAGGTAACACCAAACTCACAAGTAGAGTTGAACATGGAACCTAGACTCACCGCTGTCCTTGTCATCTACAATGCACTCCTGGATGGACTCACAGAGCCCAAGGCTCGCTGCGCTAGGAAGGGGACCCAGGATGGAACTCAGTGAGGGGCCTACTGTGGGTGGGGGAGGTGGAGGAGGGGGCTCCGCTGTCCCTCGTTCTCCCTCTACTTCACCGCCTTCCAGTTCACCCTGAATGACTTGACAGATGTAGTCCTGGTTGAAGTGTTGGGCGACTGCCTCCAGCTCCTCGTCTTCCTCAGGGTCCACCTCCGTGGGGCTGGAGCACGAGGCCTGAGAGAAAACCTCGTCCAGTGGGTCTGAGGGTAAAAATTAAAGGCCATAGGTAAATATGCACAAACAAGTGGTTCTGAAAACTGCGTGGCCCTAAAATAGTTCAACCTGAATTAAGTACTCAAGGGCTTGATAAAGTGTTGACAAGTTGCTAGCTCTGGAACACATTGAAATACAGAGAACTCGAAAATACATTTTTTTTTTTTTAAATCATTATTTCAAACGTTGTCAATGACTAAGATTTCCTATTCATGTTGCAATGTTTCCAATTTCAATTAAATACATAAAAATAGCAAAGAAACAAGGACATTTTTAAGTGACCCAACTTTTGAATGGTCGTATAAATAGATATGTATCTTTCCCATTCAGAAAAATCAGTAACCACACATATAAACCCACCTGTTTCTTTGACATAGGCAGCATAAACCCCTCTGGCCTTTGGCCTGCTGATCTGTAGCTCTGTTTCAATCTCATCTCGGTACAAACTGATTTCACCTGCATGGAAAAAGAGAATAAAAACAGAGACAACTTGCTTTGTTTTATCGTGTTGATCACATTTTACATATAATAAAATGTATTTCATAACATACATGTTTCTATTTACACAAAATCCCTAGTCTAATGGTTATGTGGAATGCCGGCACTAAAGCAACAAATATTGCAATAAAAAAATATATATACCTTGCACTTCATCCAGCTTCTTGGCTAACTCCTGTTCAAGCTAAAATCCAGAAAGACAGAGTCAGTGTGAGAAAAGTTCCTTAAACCCTCCCCATGCAAAAAGTTCACTGAGCCTTGACATATATTTGTACTGAGATGCCCTGGAGTTGCAGAATACCCAACAACACCCCTGAGTGGTGGCATGTTGGCCATACAACACACCACCATACGCCTTTATTGTAAACCCTTCACATTGATAATAAATTACAATTATATTTCCTTTAACCATCTACACATAACACCTGTTATGATAATCTAATTACTTCTCTTGGTCTCTCTAGCAGAGTCTGGTATGTGTTCTGTCCTGTCAGCTGTTCACAATCAAGCCCTGTGATATGATATATATATATATATATATATATATATGACTTGTGTTCGTGAGATCTTTTGTTTGAGAGATCTGAGAGAGAGCGTTTGTAGTTATTGTTTTGTGCAGTGGCCACTGATGTACATACCAACCAAACTAAAGCCTAATTTATCATCTGGAACATGTTGGCGTGTCATTAAAACACAAACCCGACACATGATTTATAGAGCAAGCAAGCCGACGCCTGGACATAGTCAGATAATGTACCTGCTGCAACTTGACTTTCCTCTGACCAGCAGTGAAGGAGGGTGGGTCACACTCCTGTTCCAGATCCACCCGCATGAACTCATCGATGGTCAGCTGGCTAGTAGGGGTGTCCTCAAATTCTGTCAGTCTGGATAAGGGAGAGGTGTAGGGTGGTAAGTATCTGGCAATACTCCTGATAAACTTAAACTTCTCTTACTTTTGCCCCGGGTTGTTCAGCTAGCTATGGAGGTGTAGACATTTTAATGGTTATAGTGACACACATTTTACACCTAATCCCAGAGAACGATTGATGATCTAATAGAGAATATAACGAGGTAACGTGATGGGAGCTACTAAGAAAAGCTACTAAAACGTGGTGGATGACAATGCCATGAGCCTTATCCAGAGCCAGCAATTAGTCTCCCTCGTCAGTGCGCATACCTCTTCCTCAGTGTGGCCTCGCATACTTTCACCACTCCTATCACGTCCTTGACGGTGCGGCGGAACTCATGCATCCGTGCCGCCACCAGCAGGGCTTAGGAAAAGAGAAGGGCACAGTGAGCCAGACAACACCCAGCACACCAACCTGTATGTCAAGAGGACACACCGCTAAGTCTGGTGAGCATCTTGCAGGGTGCCAAATGCGACCCACCAACCATGGATACAGGAATAGTGCCTGCAAACTAAGTCTGATACAAAGATAGTTATATCTAAGGCTCTAGCATCCTGTCACGTTTGGATGGGAAGTTCAGTGTAAGACTATTGGGAGGATCCAGAGGTTCAGGTGCAAAGACTGGTATAAACATTCCCAAGGTCATCGCTGTGGCAACCACCTTACCTGCCCCACACAGCCCAGAGGGCCTGCGTCCTGTGTGCATCCAGTCCCTCTTCATCCTCTGCAGCAGGCGTAGTGCTGTCATGGATACCTCATGGGTCTTCTCTCCAAACTCTAACATGTGAGCAAATCGAGGGATGTAGAGGCAAGGGTCTTGAGGAAAAGAGGAGGACAAAATTAGTAACGTGGTTTTATTTTTTACAAATAGAATTTTTGGCAGTAAAAAAAACACATTGTTTCCTTATTTATAACTCTTTCTTGTTTCGAATCTTAATTATTTACTTTCTAGAATATATTGTCTCCCAAGCGGCCACCTACAAGTAAGTGAATCATTAATACTGACTGAATTTCAGAGAAAACTAAAACTTTTATTCCTGTCATTCTATTTAGGAAATGAATCAATGCAGCTGTAGGTAAATAGCAGCAATGGAGATATGTACAGTAGTACATTTACATAGCACAGATGGTTACCCAGAGCTGTGGGGGTATCAATTACTCATTGCTAACTGTGTTTATATGAACAACACTATGATGTCACACATAAACCACTGAACATGGCAAATAAAAAACAGCAACAGCATTGAATCTCAGTGCAGTGCAAATATTGGCACATCAGTAAGTAGCATATGCACAAGAGACTGGGCTTGAATGGTAATGTTTTAAATGTAATCAGTTGACTGCCTTACATTTTTATTAGTAATATAATTAGATTCCTCAAACTCAGTAACATAATTTGATAACTTTCGAATTACTTTCTTATGAAAAAGACATAATAAAATAAACATAGAAATGATTCACATCATCGTATATCAAGACCAATATATTCGAAGCCTTTCAAGCATGGATTTTGAGTAATCTGATGTTTTTAACTACAACCACCAACATTGGCACCTTGCAATCAGTCTCTACATATGTAATCAAGTTCTGACTGAGATTTTTTTGTGGGGGAAACGATAAAATCGATGTTGAGAAATAAATAACTAAAACGCTGTCATTCCCCTAGTTTTTTTGTAGATGGCTCTGCCCAGCGTTCTCCCACAGGGGAGCCCTATGATGCATATGCAGTCACTTCAGCATTATAGATTGTTATAAAATGCATGTATTATTTTTTTTATTCTGATAAAAGCATGTATTTGATCATTTTATTATTAATTTCCTCTGTTTTTACTTGTAAAGCACATTGAATTGCTTCTATGTATGAATTGTGCTATATAAATAAACTTGCTTGCTAGTGTGTACAAGCAGGACAGAGTCAACCAGACCTTTAATTCTTGCTCGTAAATAAGGCCAAAGACCTTCAAGTCTCTACCCATAGCAAAGCTAAAATGATTGACAATTGTTATAGCAGTTGTAAACTCTTCAGTCGGGTTTTGCATTTTTGAGAGATTTAAGACGATGATGTGGAAAATAATGCTCTATTCCCACCAAAAAAGTAAGAATACAGTTGGTCTTACCTATAGCTTGATACCTCTTTTTTATATACCGATAACATTACTGCAACCTTGAGTATCTGGCAATATCGATACTAGACTGATATCTTCTCCGCAGATTTTTTTTTGATCTGCCACCATTATTTCTGAACCTTCTTGAATCCATGATATCAACCGTCATTGTTACATATTGGTGGCGCATGTTTTAGAAATAAAAATAATAGGGCCATAAGGGCCCTTGATTTTATACATTTAACGATACATTGGTTTTTACACAATTACTTCCAATACAAGGCCTATAAACTGTATATTGATAATAATGCAGAATTACATTCCGATTTGTTGTGTGTGATTAACATACTGATATACATTAATTTTCATTTATCCTTAATTTAACCAGGTAGGCCAATTGAGAACAATTTGTCATTTGCAATGGCGACCTGGGGAGTAGCTGAGATTTGAACCCAGGACGTCATACACATGCACTCTACCACTGAGCTACCAACTTCTCCATTCATATATGGATATATACTGGATTCTTATGAAAAACCCATTATATTAGCATTGGATACAGCTTCTGTCTTTTGCTGCTTTGATTAGCGCAGTAATGGACCGCCGGGGTTAACTCTGAGCTGTCCTCTGTCATGCTCTCTGACCCCGACACCAGAGGGTTTACGTCAGACCGTGTTGTCGTCATAATAAAAAAGCCAGGTCTGAATAAAGGCAAATTATTATTCATCGATTATGCTAATTAGAATAATGCTAATTAGAATAAACTAAAGGAGGAAATTGAACATCAAGGGATCGCCACGCGTGTCTAGAAGGAATGGACCCACTCGCCATATGATCCCGGTTTTAATTTACGATTGTGTAAATGTCAAGCCATGTACATAGCATATCCGTCCGTATTGATTCATCTAGCCGGGCGCATACTTGAATACATTTCCTAACCATGACAATATTGACCATATAGAATCGTCAGTAAAATAAAAACGAATAATGTACACGGTAAAAATAACAATTGTCTGACATTTTGCGGCATAATCCTCTTATGTTTTTAAACCACATCACCATTCCATTATGTTGCGCCGGGGCCCTCTGTTGGAAATCGGTGAAACCCGCCTATAGGCAGAGGGACAAACAGTGGAAGCCCAACCCCCCCTCTACTCAGTAATACCCCGGATTTAAACATGGCTACTGGCTGCGACCAATCGTCCATTGACCAAAGCTGAACGTTTTTCTCTGTCTATCGACGCCGGTCATACATTTCAATCAGGTAAAGATGTAGTAATTGTCTGGTCGTGCGGTCTGCCAACGATTGCAAATGTCGATGAACAGAAAGCAACATGATTTGGCTTTGTTTCGACTCCGCGGATTGTGCGATTAGGTGAATTCGTCTCAGCGGAGGGTTCTCGGTGTGGTGTGTTCTTAAGGACGATTCGAATGCGAAATGTTTCGCGAATAGTTCGAAATGATGTACATTGTGTCCAATTGAAACTTACTGGCAGAATGTATCTAATTGTTGTATCCAACATTTTCGATACAAATGACAGCACTTCGCTGCAGATGTTAAATGCAACGCAATTAAAAACAGCGTCTGTTGGTCAAACCATGTTTTTGCCAACGAATTGTTTCTCAAATATTGAAAAGATAGAACCGTATTCTCAGTAAAACATTATTGTAAATAATGACTGTGCTGTATATTAATAGGGCGTGATCTGAGTGATATTTAGTAGTTTAAGTAACTTTGTGTGCTATTCCAACAGCGTAGGCTGTGCACACATTTCACGTAGCCTGGAAAGCTACACGGATAATACATTCTCTCTATAGTCCAAATTACAACTGGGCCTCTGCCATCTTCAATATGCACCATATGAAGCATATACATCCAGTTATCTGAGCAATTGAAGTGGTGACGTGAGCGTTATCAACAGGACTGAAAGGGTTAACGCTCCTGCTCGCTTGGTCTCCATTAATATTGTGGAGGGGAACCGACTCGAGATCCACTTTGTGGGAGGAGCCTGTGGGCTACTGACGACAGATGCATCCGTGAATCCTATTGGTTCTCCCCGAACTGGGCGTCTGGTCTTGAGACACTCAACTACCAGTACCTTCAGTGATACGCGAAACCTGTTCGGTTGTTGGCGCAGAGATGGATCACGTACTCTCGAGATAAACATGTTGGGATATTTTATAGTTTTACGATTGTTTCAAGTTCAACAACATCACCGCTTTAGTGGAGTTATGGGACATTGTTACACTTTAAAATAGTTTACGCCGGGTGCAACGCGGATGTGATATTGAGTGGACATTTCAGCTTCATTAAAGGATACCGTATATGATAATGATAACATTTGAACCGTTTTTATGTCATTTCTACAGCTGGGCAGGCACATATTTTCCGGGTTCTTAGGGGTTTGGTTTTATTGGTACAAGCGACCGATGACAGATGGTATCGGTTTACACATTTGTTGTTACATTACGTGGAATTAAAACATTTTACTCAGACTGGTAATAGGGTTCTATTGGTATTTTTAATAAATGCAATTCGCCTCGTTTAAACAATTAACTGCTGATGCCAGAAACCCCAGATTGCCTCTATGGCCGGATCATGAAGTTTATGACATTTTTCCTATTGCTTCCAGAAACCTTAAAACGGACTAGAAAGACTGGAAAGCAGTCCGGCAAGCTACCAGTATGCTATGAAATCGTGACTTTATCCTTGAAGGAGAAGATGGCTGCAGAACTGTACCCTGCAAGCATAAACACCAACCTCCCCAACAGCAACGGCGCCGCAGTGCCCGCAGGCAGGAAGAAGAGCATCATTCAGGTCACCCACACGGTGACGGTGCCGACCACGACTGCCACCCGGCAGAATATCAACAACAATATAGAGACTACCAGTTGGCAGTCCACTCACCCGACATTGCGAGAAAGGTGTGTCAATACGACCAGTTCTTCTGCTGTTCCAATTCATTAATATGTAAATATTATGCAAATCACATTCTAAAGTGCGATTGCCCGGTAAGTGCCTTAAATGTATATGTTTTAAGATCATGACGCTTACAGTTTTTGGTTATCTGGTCTTAATTTGACTCTTTCAGGAATGCTTTGATGTTCAATAACGAACATATGGCAGATGTTCATTTCATTGTGGGTTCTCCAGGTGAATCACAAAAAGTTCCAGCGCACAAGGTAAGCATGTGGATTTCTTCTGTGCCACTTTAATGCCCGCTGGTTGTAAATCAGGCTTGACATAGCTTTTTGCCATTGGTGTTTTTTTCCTGCCATTGAGGCCCATTGGAGAGACTTGAATTAATGTTTCCTCTCAAGTATCTCTTTAGTTAAATTGCATATTTCCCCAACATTACGCATAACCATATTGTAATAATCCTACTGGTGTTTACAGTATGTGTTGGCCGTGGGCAGCTCCGTTTTTGGTGCCATGTTTTATGGCGACCTGGCAGAAGGGGAGTCTGAGATCCACATCCCAGACGTGGAGCCTGCTGCTTTTTTAATTATGTTAAAGTGAGTAACATATTACGTCATCTCTGGAGTGCTTTTGCTATTACATCAATGTTAATACAGTTTGGTCATATGGCCAATATATAGAGACTGGATGCTATCTAGAGGTTTGGAAGGTGGTCCTGTTACAAGAAGGCTGCCAACTTATCTAAATCATACGCTACAGGGATGCTAGACTTAAAGACATTTTATTTGATTGTTATTTAACCTGGTTAGTAGATCAGGAACCATTTCTCGTTTTCAATGACGACTTGGCCCAAGGCATTTAACTGTGAGGCAAGACCGTAAGCATTAGGGCTGCACAATTCATCTAATGAATAATGTAATTGCTATACTGACATGTGCATTATATAAAGTGCCAACAACAGACGTCTACAATAAAACGTGTGTGGAACATGTGTCACTGACGGTCATCCGTTTTGTATATAGGGTGCATCATTGGAATTGTGGTACAGTGTTTACGGTAATTGTTAGATAATTGGAATTTATATTTGGAATTGCAATATTTGGGAAATACAAATAATATCTATATTTTGTCCAAGTTGTGCAATCCTTATTATAAAATATAGTGTGCTCATTAGGAATGCACCGAAATGCTTTAAATTTGTTTGTTTTTTAAAGTTACCAAAAAAACAGTTTTGCTGTGGACTGGGTTCATTTCAAGTCGGCATTTGAAATGCCATAGATCCCAAACAGTAATTGTTTAGCAGGTGACAGTGTTTGTAGTTCTTACGGTGCTAAAACCCTCCCTCCTCCCTTCAGGTATATGTACAGCGATGAGATTGAACTGGAGGCGGACACAGTGCTGGCCACTTTGTACGCTGCAAAGAAGTACATTGTGCCTGCCTTAGCCAAGGCCTGCGTCACATTTCTGGAGACCAGCCTGGAAGCCAAAAACGCCTGTGTACTGCTCTCACAGAGCCGCCTGTTTGAGGAGCCCGAGCTGACACAGCGCTGCTGGGAGGTGATCGACGCACAGGCCGAGTTGGCCCTCCGCTCAGAGGGCTTCTGCGAGATCGACCTGCAGACCCTGGAGATCATCCTGCACCGGGAGACACTGAACACGCGGGAGGCCGTGGTCTTCCAAGCCGTGCTGGAGTGGGCGGTGGCCGAGTGCCGACGCCAGGGCCTGAGTGCCACGTCGCGGAACAAGCGGTCTGTGCTCGGCAAGGCTCTGTACCTGGTGCGCCTCCCCACCATGACGCTGGAGGAGTTCGCCGACGGCGCGGCGCAGTCGGACGTGCTGACGTTGGAAGAGACGCACGACATCTTCCTGTGGTACACGGCGGCCAATAAGCCCAAGATGGAGTTCCCACTGGCACAGCGCACGGGCCTGACGCCACAGCGGTGCCACCGGTTCCAGTCCTCAGCCTATCGGAGTAACCAGTGGCGCTACCGGGGCCGGTGCGACAGTATCCAGTTCGCAGTCGACAAGCGCATATTCATCGCCGGCCTGGGCCTGTACGGGTCGAGTGGCGGCAAGGCCGAGTACAGCGTCAAGATCGAACTGAAGCGGCAGGGTTCGACGCTGGCACAGAACCTCACCAAGTTCGTGTCGGACGGCTCCAGCAGCACGTTCTCAGTGTGGTTCGAGCATCCCGTCCAGGTGGAACAGGACACGTTCTACACGGTCAGCACCGTGCTGGACGGTAATGAGCTCAGCTACTTTGGGCAGGAGGGCATGACAGAGGTGCAGTGCGGAAAGGTCACCTTTCAGTACCAGTGCTCCTCGGACAGTACCAACGGGACGGGCGTGCAGGGGGGGCAGATCCCAGAACTGGTGTTTTACGCATGAGCCCTATGGTTTGTCTGTAACACATCGTATTGTGCAGACATGCATTCGGACCAATGGATTAGTTAAAACGCAGGGGACATTTTAAGAGGGCCCAAACACACGTTCCATTGCCTGTAACAATTCAGCAACGGCAAAACATTGTTCATGTAAAAAAAAAAGGCTGTTATTCCTTTGACAGGATGTCAGAGT